GGACTTTTGAAGAGACGAGTCCGGATTACCTGCAGATGATAAAAAAAAAGTGGAAGATTTCTTCAAGTCGGAAGAAGCGAAGGCTATTCGCAAGTTGACGGCAATCGCAGGAGAAGAGAGACAGAGAATCAGAGAAGAGAGATCGAGAATTGACAACAATTTGAAGGCAATTAGGAGTGTTAAAGAGGAATTGAATGAAGTGATCAAGTCGAAACGATGTCTGGATTCGGGGAAAACGGATAAACTTGTAGAAAAAGTGAAATCTGTCAGCTCGAAAAGTGTCCCGAGCAGTCCAATTCCATTCAGTCAATGGAGCATTCGGTTTCCGAGCAATGTCGATGTCGTAATCCACTCAAAGCCCTGCTGAGAGCCGCCCAAAGGGTAACAAGTTTCATTTAAAGACGCTATAAACCTTTTTACATTTCCAGATTAACCATCGTTGAACATACCGACAGACATCATCGTCTCACCGATTACACGAACAATTTCTTTAGTTTATGAAAATGCTCCACGGAAAAGTAACTGTTCTGATAATCTTTTGTATCAAAAGAGATCTGCTAATAAAACATTCGTTCGAAACCCAATTCAGACGTTCGTTTTCAGCATCTTTTGGAAGATTAACGTTTTTTTTCCGAAACCTTTCTGATTTCATTTGAAACTCTCATAAAAATCGATAATGAAACGCCTTTTAGCAGTGAGCAAGAAGATTTGCATCAATATTTACAGCACGCCGGCAATTTCACTCTTCCCGAAACGCTCACAATCACTGATAAGAGATCGTCATTTTCACCTCTGCCGCTATTCGCTTCAATCGAAATATGACGGAGCGTTTCAACGAAGTTACCGGGTAAGCGCTTACATTTCCATCGCACACTTCCTTTTTCATTTTCACATTCGACAGACTAGAATGCAAAGTCTGTTTCGAGCACTACAGTGGCACTATTGTCGATTTGACTCCGAGAATGTTGTCTTGTGGACACAGTCTGTGTGAGAAATGTGCGAGGACGCTGTTGCAGCAGACAAATAACCGATCGGTTCTGTGTCCGAGTTGTAGAAGGACCACTTCAGTTGACGGCGACGTCCGATTGCTCCCTAAAAACTTTGATCTTTTGGAACTTCTTGCTTCACTTCCGAAAACGTCTCCGATTATTCCCGAAAGTCCGAAGGTGCCCGTAAAGAAGCCACAAGCATTGGATCCATCTAACACTCCATGCGCCGAAGATCCAAGTCACGAAGCCACGTGTTTTTGTGCTCAATGCTCGGCGGACCTATGTGAAAAGTGTTTCGATATGGTGCATCGACCTAGGTCTGTGGCCGCCCACGCAAAAATTCCGATTGCCGAGAAGCCGATTCAATTGCCTAAATGTCAAAGTCATCCGAGTAACATTGCGGAGTACGTGTGCCGAGTGAGTTAGACCTTCAACAAAAGCGACCGATCAGGCAAAAGTTTCAGGAGCCGAATTGCCAAATGATTTCAAAGATAATATGCGATAAATGCGTGTTGAAGGACCACAAGAACCATAAATACGAACTGCTGAGCGAGTACACTGAAAAATACTTAAGGAAACTAAGGAATTGCCTGGATGGTGTCGTTTCGAATGAAACAAGTCTTGAGAGGGCGTCGGAATCGTTGAAGATGTGCGCGTCGAGTTATGAAGAGACGAGTCCGGATTATCAGCAAGTTATCAAGAAAGTGCAAGACTTCTTCAAATCGGAAGAAGCGAAGGCCATTCGCAAGTTGACCGAAATTGCAGGACAAGAGAGACAGAGAATCAGAGGAGAGCAATCGAGAATTGGCGGCGATTTGGAGGAAATCAGGAGTGTTAAGGAGGAATTGAACAAAGTGCTCAAGTCGAAAGAATACCTGATCTCAACGGATAGACTTGTCGAAAAAGCGAAATCTGTCATCTCGAAAAGCATGCCGAACAGTCCAATTCCATTCAGGAAATGGAGCATTGAGTTTCCGAAAAATGTTGAGGTTGAAGTGCATTCACCTCACTTGAAGCCTACATTGGAGCAAAAACGTGAACCTGCCGGTGAAACAGCTAACAACCGTCCAAAGGGTAAAAAGAAATCAAAAAAACGCAACTAACTTGTTTATTTTCAGATTATTCCGAGTTACAAATACCGGGAGACAAAATTGTGGCCCGTTCAGAGGCTCTCGCGATTGTCTCTCATCACGATTCCGATTTTTTAGTATCTTATGATATATGGATCGCATTGCACTCGCTCTTCCATCATCTTAAATCGAACTACAACGCCTTCTCGTGCGAAGAGCTCACGGAATGCCGTCGACTTGTTCCCATAGTCATGAAGCGCTGGCTGAGCATCAAACCGTTTCAACTTTCGGGAATCGAGTGTTTTTTCAAACTTTTCAAGTGAGCCTTCATATCATCATCATTCTTAAATGAACACGTGAACTTTCGAACGGTCTTGAGTGACAAAGAAGTCGCAAAGCCGCTTTAAAAATCTTGTTGAAACAATGAAACGCATAATTTCAGTGCGACTACAATCGAACAAATTCCGGCGGAAGAAGTGAACGCATGCGTCGAGCGATGTCTGGATGCAGTAGAGCATTTTCCTGGCTCAGAAACTTTACAAAACACCGTCTGGGCGTTCATTGTGAGCGTAGCTCACATTGTCAAACTCGAAGCAACCAATTTCACCCGCTTGCTTGCAGTTGCACTCGACACCTTGGTAAACACTGCGCATTCGACCGTGGGTGCAGCGACTATTCGAACAGTTTCTGTCATAGCGCCCAGCGTGGAAACGTCAGTTATCAACCGGTTGATGTGTGATTCAAAGTACGTGCTTGGAATTGTCCAATTGATGAACGTCTGGGTGAACGTGTGTCAGGGCAGAGGAGATAAGCAGGATCTTATAGTCGTCGCCCTACACGCACTTTGGAATCTGTCTGACAACTCGCCGACAACTTGTAGAACATTTGTTGAAGTTGGCGGGCTCCTCGTTGTTTCCGAACTGTTGGAATTGCCTAATTTCCCAGAAACAACGAAGGGACTCGTATTGGGGGTTCTGTCCAACGTTTCGGAAGTGGACGATTTACGATTGCCACTGCACGAACACCATTCGATTTTGCTTCCCTATCTGAATGGTCGTTTTTCCGAAACTGAATGGGCTGCGACTTTCTCCGCCGCCATAATCTTTTCAAACTTTCTGGCGAACCCGCTGTGTTGGCGGTCGACAAATCAACGAGAAGAGATTGATAAGTTACTACTGGAGGCAGTGGCGAAATTCTCGACATCTGAAAGCCTCATGTTCTCCTACAAGTCGTTTGAACCATTCTGCGTGCTCATACGCACTTCCAAGTCGAACGGAGCTATCCTCACTTGTCTATACGGTGTGTTCTATGCGCTTCAGACTCATCGATCACCCGAAAATCCATCACTTGTTCGCGGAAAGACGTAAGTAATTGATTGAATCATTGATTAATTGAATCTGAGAGCACGCTAGTTTTACACGGATTCGACAAACAACGTACACATTCTTCATTTCTTGTTAATATCTCTTGTTCAGGCACATCGAGATGTACCACCAGTCGGAACTGCCTTCGATGATTCGACAGTTCAGAAGTAGTCGCTCGCCGTACATTGATAACGTGGACACTCGTGTCCAGCAACTAGCTTTTCGAATCGAGGTTCTTGTGGCAAACTACTGAGAGACAATTCTTGCGCTGATAAATGTCGATTAAAGCTGTGTTGTCTCTGATTCTTCTGCTCTTTACATACGTGTTCCAATCAGAAACATTTCTCAGAAAATCAATTGCATTGAACTCCTATAAACAATTCGAAACGTTGCGACTCGACAGCATTCCGAAGGTGTCTCAACTGATGGGGTAAATATTATCAGTCCGTCACGTCTTCTCCGCTACTTTCGGCTGGCTGCCAAACCGATATTACATGCGGGCAGGAACCCGTATAACTGTAACATTACATCATCAATGTCACCCACCCGCTGCCGGCGGTAATCTATTATTGTCCATTTCATTTTTCGTCGTCTAGAAGTTTCGCCACACAAATCATGCAGAAAACAGTCACTTTGGCTGGTTTTCTGCTCCTCGTCACGTCAACCTCGACAACAGACGCGACGGTTTACAGGTAATGTCGAGCGTTTCGGAGAAAAACCGACAAAAATCAGTGTTTCAGTCGTGTGAAACGTAACGATTTCACGAATAACTATGGGTACGGACCGTTTGGAATCGGTCCGACGAACGGCGGATTCGATAGTTTCGGTTTCTATCGCGACAAGTTCTACAATAGCGGATTGCCGCCGTTGTACACCCACGCCGCCTACCGTAACTACTACCACGAGATTTCGTTCCACAAGAACAAGTACGGACAGCCGGCGCCCACCGATTTTGAGGTGTTGCAGCAGGAGAGATTCGGTGAGTCTTACGATTACACGCACCTCGTAGTTCTATTAACTTTTCAGGACCGTACTACGATGGAGTGTGGGGATACGCGGATCATTCGAAGAATTGGTTTGGAAAACGATAATAGTGATGTGGTTACTCTTTATGAAACGTTTTCAAATGAAATGCTCAGAAAAATAAGACGGCAGTCGGATCAGTTCCGCGCTGTTCAAGTCGGCTAGCTCTCGGGCATGCCACACTGTTTTCGTCTCGATTTTACAGTCTCCAACCTGAAAGTACATACATATTCAGTAACAGAATACCATTGGATAGAGCGTGAAATCGTCGTCCTAGTGGTTACTGTTTACAAAATAGATCATAACTCATGTGTGGCAAGTTTTTGAATAAAACAATCAACTACAAAGTTGTTAAGCTTGAAAATTGCAACAACTTTGCAATTGAACACTTTTTGAAAGAATTATAGAATCTCGAGATAAACGTGTTCAAATATGAGGCCTTATATGTGATTTTTGAGAGAAGTTTTGCAACTTTTGTCGTTCTATCCAATGGTATAAACACCCTAATTCCAAACACTTACAGTGCACAAAAGCTCGGCAAACTTATGATGCACTTTGGAAGTTGAACCGGCTTTTCTTGAATCAAAAGCTTCGGGTGGGCAAATAACGAGTTCGGCTGATGCACCATATCGAAGCGTGGCTTCATGCTCTCGCCATTCTGAGCCATCGGTTTAATGGCACATTTTTGACAAATGGTATGTCCACACGACTTCAATATTCTTGCCGTTCGATTCGTGGAAACGGTGGTGTAAGTTGCGAAGCATTCAGCGTTTTCCGAACTGAAATCTTAAACACATTATTACGCTTGTTGCAAAAGAATTATATGTGAAACTGACTCTGCGCGCAATAGACCTCAGCCTCGTGTCTTGGATCCTCAGTCCACGGTTTGTCCGCTTCGTCGTCTGGGCACGGAGAAATAGTGGTCCCCACCGGCTCGTCCACTCGCGTCTTCTTCACTTCCAACAGACACCTTTTTGTCGGACGATCCTCTTGATTTGCTTAATTCATCGTTGAAAAATGATAATATTTAGTGAAAAACGGATGAGAAATGGGGGTACGGAGTGCCGTCGCAAGAACTGAAAAACAAGAGAGGCGACCGCGTCCACCGCTGCACATCAATTTATCGGAGCGACAAAAAACAAACAAAATTTTCACACCAAATCATCATCGTGAATAGTGTAAGTTAGTAGTGATGTGCAAATTTATTGGAATAAGAGTGGTGGACAAACAAAAATGTCACTGCGAAAAGTTGAGTTCGAATCGTTCTGGAAGAGTGATGTTCCATTGGTCGAGGCATTTGCACTGTTCTTCAGGTAGAGCAACCCACACTGCGTCAACTCTTTGGAGCAGATCATTCGCCAAGTGCAACTCTCTTTTAGCTTTCAGAACTTTTTCCACTTCCTTTCTCAAACTTTCAACAAGCAGTGCATTAGTGTGGAAATTATCAACATCTTTTTCCAGTTGCGTCTTTTTAGAATGAGCAAATGATTTGAATTGCTCAACGGCTTCGGCCTTTTTCACATCGAACAACTCTTCGATTTCGCGAATCTTTTGCTGATAATCCAAACTTTCAGCATCGAAACTCAGAAAACACTCCTGTCCGATTTTCAAACTGATTTTCAGACATTCTTCTAGGCTATCCAGCGGCTCTATTAAATCTTCCAGCGTTTCCTTATTCGTCAGAACTGTGACCATGAGATCATTATGCTCATGGAATTGATGAATGGTGTTGAGACAGGCCTCACACATGATCTTGTCCTCCATTACGCAACTCGTATCCTAGAAAATTGCATTTTGAGACTATAGAGTTATAGGTAAACATGTGCAACTGACTGTGCAAATGTACTCAGCATCATCCTGCTCATGTCGCGGACACTTTGGCAATTTCAACGTCTTCTCCTCCATTGAAATTTTGACGTGAGAAGACAAAACTTGATAGGAGTGGACTGCATCGAAGCATCTGAAAGTGAGGAACGACACTTGGCACCGAGACGGTGAGAAGCTACAAACTTTTCACAAAAATCTGAGGCACACGTGTCACAATAAACCTCAGCCTCGTGTCTCAGATTCTCCGCACACGGAGTGTCCGCTTCGTCGCCTTCTTCTTCTTCTTCGTCTTTTGATGAATCTGTTGATTCGTTCAGCGCTTGAATCAACTCAATGATGGCAAAGTTCCTCGGAAGACTGTTGATGTCTGTAAACAACATTTCATTCACAACTTTATGTATCCTACTATTGTATAGCTCACTTTGAACCGAAGTGACCTGTCTGTCAAACGGACATTCAATCTCTCCGTTTACTTTTTCATTCAACAACTGCTCGGCACACTTTTCGCATATTGTATGTCCACAGTTTGTGAGCATTCGTGGAGTCTGCTCTTGGACTTGTTCATCGTATTGGAGACAACAAATTTTGCATTCGATCACTTCTGATCTGACAAAAAAGGATGTAAAGGGGGGCGTTTTGAAGGGGGAAAAGAACTAACGTCATGATGTTCTGAATAAGTGTTGTAAATGGGAAGCGAGTCGACTTTTTGATTATCAGTTGAAATGTGAAGTCAATGGCGGTTACGCAAAGGTATTTATTGGGCAAGGAGACGACTGACATTATTTATCAAATGACTCATGACTATTATTGAAGAACTAAGCAATACTTCATGAAAGTTTGAGACGATACGAAACGTAGCAACTTTTTATGATGCTGCGTCACTGTAAGACTTCGCATGCTCCACAGTATTGTACAGAGCGTAGCAGGTAGTCTTTGAAGGAGGCCACCTGATAAAGTTTTCGCATATAAGCATGCATTTACTCAGCTCTTATTCCTGTCTTAGATGAACAAGTCCAAGAGCAGATTCCACGAATGCTCCGCGAAATATAGCTTTTTTTTAGCTTGCAAAAATCGTTTTATCTCTATGTTAAAGTGCTCAATATTCTTCACGTCGACGTGGAAATTAACCACATCTTTTTCCAGTTGCGTCTTTTTAGAATGAGCAAGAATGAGCAAAACCACTCTCCGATTTCCCGAACCTTCTGTTGATGATCCAAACGTTCAGTCTCAAACAAAAGTCGTAGCAAAGCTCTGCCAGATTGTTGCCATCTTCTTGATACATGATCCCATCTCGTCATACGCTTCCTTGAGTGATTCCAATACGCTCTGATTAGACACAATTTTAGTCATGATCTTCTCATGTTTGTGGACTTGATGACATGATCTCCTTTTCCATGATGCAATAGAAAACAAATGCCACGCGTTGTCAGTTGTCAAGCGTCGCCGAGGAAAAAGAGCAAATTGTTGAGAGACAATTGAAAAATTTGAGAAATTGCATTGCCAGTTACGATAAGGACACGGACGATTTCAAGCGAAAAAACAGGAGGCGATCACGGCGCACTTTCGAGAAGTTTTCGCCACTCTCAGACATAAAAAGCGAGTCGCGCGTCGGGAATTGGAGCAGTTTGTTGATGAAGAGCAAAAAAAGCTGATGGAAAAAGAGAAAGAGCTGGAGGAGAATCTGAATTTGATCCGGGCGGCGAAGGAGCAGCTGTCGGAAAGTGTGCCAGAGTCGATAGAAACTGCCAGAGCCGTTTTTAAAGTGGATTTTGAGAATAGAGGTGAACTCTTTGCATCATGTTTCTCATTTATTCCACAGTTTCATTTCAGATCAAGTTTCATCGCTCGAAAAGTACGAGATTTTGTTCTCCGCCCTGGCTATTGATCACTTCCTACTAAAGGAATGCAATTTTGATGTTTTGAAGAACTATTCCGATTAGACTTGAATTAAAGTGTTTTGGGTGCAAGTTTTCCATTTTCGACTTCCCATCCACATACCTCAAGAGCAAACGATCCGATCGGTGTGAAAAAGGCGCGGCGCCAAAAAGAGATTAAGATTCTGGAAAGTGCAATGGAGAAAAACGGAACGCAAAAACCCATTCATTTCATTCAATCAATGATGGCGCACAAGCATCTGGAGCGGACGAGCAGGTACCATTCGCACGTGCCAAAGTTGAATTTCTGCTCGGTGCACAAGGTGTCGCAGGCGGCGTTGGTGCACCAGCCGAATTCTGAAAGCACGTCGAGATTGGGGGACATTCAATAATCACCGTAAAACTCACTGTCATTGTAGATCTCGATTCTGGCGTGGACGTGGGCGAGAAGAAGAAGAAGAAGAAGAAGTGAGAGAAGAAAAGTGAGCAACTTCATTCTTTCGATTCGATTCTTTCACAGTGTCACTTGCTTTTATATGTGTTGCCGGACAATAGCGAGACGAGGGAAAGTGACGAATTTTGTTTGGAAATGACGTGCTTCACATGTTTTGTTTCTGAAAATGAAAAGTTTTCCGAAGCCAGTCAGTCTGAGAATCCAGAAAAAAGGGGCGGAGCTTGACCATTTTTCAACGCATTGGCTCAATTTGGCTCGAAGTGGACCTCAAAATCGGTCGAACAACTCTTTGAAAGAACGAAGAAGTGACCAAGTGCACAGTTCGTCGATTACAGCTCAAATAGGATATCTGGATCATTAATGGAGTGCTGAGAATGTCAATTGTTCCAGAGACACCTAATAGCTGTAAAAAGTGAACGGATATTATTGATTTTCAGAAGAGCACTCACATGAATCAACTCGTTTTCACCGAAAATGAACTGGATGAAGAAGGGAAGTGACATCTGACGGAACATTTTGAAAGATGATAGTGTCGGCTCGTCAACTTACAACTTTGAAGAGAGCAAGGGACAAAGTCTGGTACAACATGAACTGTTGCGGCTGATTTTGAACAGTGTCTTGGAGAAATGTCAAATTTCGAATGTGGATCATGATTGTGATGTAGAGAAGTGCGGAGATGATCAGCAATGCGTTGAGGCAAATGTATATCGTCTGCAAATGTTTGCAATTTGAAAAAATATAACATTTTGGGCTCCAGTACTGTAATTTTGTAGTTGGACACTTTTTCCTAGGAGTACTGTAGTCTAAACTACAAATTTACAAAAAATTGATTGATACTTACAATATAAATGAATCCAGACTTTGTGTATCCTTCAACGTTTCGCGGATCCGGAAGCCTGCGGAGTTCGATGAAGTGATAGCAAAAACTTGCACTATCATAGAAAATCACAATAAAATAAATACATTTTATCGCCTTTTCAGCAGTTTTAAGCCAAAAGTTGATGAATCGAGCGGTTGAGGGGAAAAAGTAGAGGAGGAAGCGTTGAACTGCCATCAAATTGACTAGAATGTAAAAAACGCGGACTATTACGAGTGCTGGATAATAGGCACCGAGGGTGATGAAAAACCAGAGGATTGTGGCCAGGAAACTGGAAGAATAACGTTGAGACTACCAGTTTTTAGGGTTGAAAGGGAGAATAGAGATTGACAAACTTTGGACAGGTACTGTAGCCTTAAAAGACGTCATGATGTTCTGAAATGTTTTGGGCAAAATCTTGACGTCTAGTACTTGATTTTTGTAATTGACAAGTTTTTGGTAGGACCATTCCCTGGCCTACTGTAGTCCTTGGAAGTTGAGACCCTTTTTCCCGACGCCTCTGTATATCCTCAACTTTCAAGGACTACAGTAGCCCAGGGTGGGGTCCTACAAAAAACTTGTCAACTACAAATTTACAGTACTAGATGTCATAGTTTCACCCAGAAAGATTCAGAGCATCATGACGTCTTCTAAGGCTACGAGACCAACTTTTCATATCTATGCGAAATGTACATGACTAAACAGGCAAATAACGTGGAGTAGCCGAAAATGTACACTTTCTTGACAATCTCGTAAAAGTGCATTGTGATCGGGTAGATTGCAGTCTGAATTCAAGGTTTGCGACCAACGGAAACCGGAATCCAATGACCTGTTCATCTCGATATCGATTGATTCTGTGAACTGCCAGGTACACTGGGTAGGTGATGAATACGCTGAGCGCGAAGACGAAGATAATAACGAGAAAAATGCGGAAGTTCACCGATTGCCAACTCGTTTCCGACAGTTCAACGGTCACGTTGATGCTGAACATTGTGTCGAAAGTCGGACGTTTTCACCTGTCAACTCCACTTGGCTTTAAAATGATCGAGAAACAAAGTGTCTCTAGGTCCCGGCTCTTTCAAACGTGACTTTCTCAAGTCTTTTTGTGCAAAAAATGAGGAAAAGTTGAGGGTTTTTTTTGTAAAATGACATGGGGGGTCAGGTTGCAAACGGAAATGTTGCAGAACAGATGGGATTTTTGGTTTCTTGTGGAGAGTTGGATGGAAATTGGCATTGCTAGTGGATCCACAGTGTTGCCACGTCATAGAAGCTACAGTAACCATTCCTAAGTCTCGTTAGACTTCGACTTGCTTCCTTCCAATCGAATTCTACAAGATTCGTTCTAGTGTGGCCCCCTCAAACCTCAAAAGTTTCATTCATGTTTCGTTGTTGTCTTTTTCGCGACTTCCATGTGACCTCCGCCCATCTACGATTACACAAAACGTATCACAAACATTTCTTCTTCTTCTTCTTCTTCTTTTTCTCTCTTATCAGTTTGTTGGTGCATTTTCACTCAAAAACTGATCATTCTGATGATGATGCTGAGGGCAAAACATGTGAGAGCGAAGACGGAAAACATTTGGGGAGATCCCTTTGGCGCCGGGCGGTCATGTGAAAACGGAAATCGAGTGGTCTGGAGCAACGGCAGTTGATAACCTCGTTTCGGGCGAGCACGATAAGAAACGTGTGGGAAAGTGACGGTTTGGACGCGAGAATGTCAAAGATCGCTGCCAAATTGCTGGAATTTTACCGTCTGGAAGTGAAATGAACTGGTTTGACATGGAAATTGGCACATTACATTCCTAAGGAGTCACGCCAGCTTCCATATTACAGAAGAAATCACTGGATTACGGTAGTTCAGAGCAATAACTGAAACTAGCTCCCTAAACGTGTGCTATTGTATAATTTCAGCGCTAAACTTCCAAGGACTACAGTACCGCCGGGAGTGCTCCTACCGAAATGTTGTCAACTAGAAAAACAAAGTACTAGATGTCAAGAAAGGGCACAAAACTTTTGGGAACAAAATCATAACTTGTGGAGGCACGGTACACATTCAAAGTTGGTCCCTGCCCAACTTTCTCTCTTGCCATTCTTCCAATATTCCATGACTAACCATGTGCTCCACTTTTTTCTTCCAGAATTCTCGGCACGCGTCACTTCTGACGTGCACTCTTGCCGAACCCCAATCGGCAAACAACACTCTCGTTTCTCTTGTTGTCCCGCTTCTTTTCCCAACAAGATTCTCGCAACAGATTTTGTGCGGTCCCCCAGCGTAACATGATGAAAATGACCCTCTGAAGTCACGTGTGCTCTTGGCGCCAAAAAGTTCGGTTCTGGAGTGATAAGAGGTTGCAATTTGTGTCGTAACTCGGGTCATGGGAATCGTAGTGGGGGGCGATAAGCGGAAAAGGAGTTGTTTGTTTGGTGGGGCACGTAAAGTTGCCAGAACGCTCGGGAAATGGGCTATGATCTTGAAAGTTTTGGTCTTAAAGTTTAAGCGAAAGGGTGAACGGTTACTGTAGTTTGAACTCAAGGGTATACGCCTTAAACCTATCCGACTATGGAAACTATTGTAGGCCTAAAATACCTCTAGGAGTGTTGCCACGTCATGTCTCTTACAGGAGAGTCAACTGGATTAGTGTAGTTCCTAGTGATCACTGAAAACTGGCTCCTATTCATGTTCTTGTTCTCGTGCCACGTCACAAAACTTTACCGCTAGATTAACCACATTCTTCAAGAACAGGGTTGGGACGGCTGTAGTTGGATTCCTTGTGCCACGTCAAGTTCAAGTTTTTTCTTAGACGATGAGATGTAGAAGGATTACTGTAGTTCACGCCACGTCAACCTTAAGGAAACCTGAAATGAATTACTGTAGTTTCAAGCTGAATGACGGTTTAGGGAGTACGGTACCTGCTTCGCCAATTCCAAAACCTGCTCCATTTGACGTACTTCCATCCGCGTACGTGTTCGTTCCTTTTCCGGCAGATTCTCTCGGGCCACAAAAAAATCTCTGTCAATATTTGTTCGTTGATCTCACTCCCTCTCCCTCTCTCGCTCTCATGAAAGAGAAAGACGAAAAAGTGTGAGAGAGAGAGAGAGAGAGAGAGAAAGTGAGTATCCTTCTCGTTTTCCCCCCAGAAAACTTTTCCTTTTGCACACTCTTCCAGTGAAAACAGGTGATTTTTTTTTTGCAATTTTTCTAGTGTTGGAGATGTCTGGGGCTTCAAGTTTTAGGGGCTTTCGAGTGTGTGGAAGGGTCATACTGATTGTACTTTCAAATTGGGTCTTGCCACGTCAAAAATGCAAATTCTCCCCCACTTTTGGAAGTTGTGGCTCTGAATCTGATGATGTCATTGGCGCTGCTCATCAGATTCCGGTAAACAAAGTGTCCCCAAATATTTTGGCACCTTTTCACGTCACCAGATTCTAGAACACGTTTGTATTTGGGATGGGGATTCTAGGCCATCTAAAATGGAAAAGTGAGGCCACCTGACTACAACCTTAAAGGGTCTTGACTAGGATTACGGTATCTGTTATTCTCAAGGAAAGGGGTTAGAGGTTACTGTAGACAGACAATTGGAAGAACCCCCTAGAGTTGTCGTTCATCTTCTAAGAACTCATCCTAACTTTCATTAGTGGGGTCCATCCACTCCCACTCTTTCTTTGGGGTTTTTAACTTCCTCTAATTAACTTTTCCTCCTTTCCTCTCGTCCCTCTTTCTTTTTTTCTTCCAATTTCGTCACTTTTCCGCACGGTTTTCCGGAAAACCTTACTCTTATCGCCTTTTTCGTTTTGCACACTCCACTCCTATCAGTTGGCGACCTCGAATTTTCCGTGAAACTCTCGGAACACGACAGTAGTTTTTGGTCGAGTTACGTAGTCGTTTCTGCAAATCTTGCGCGTTTCTCTGCAGTCTGCGCCCTTCTAATGTCATTATTGTTGGGGCGGCGGCTCCCGTCCATCATTGTGTGACGTCATCTGATGTTGCTGGAGTCTTGACGTCATCTGTGGTTTTTCATAACTTTTTAAAGTGGTTCTAGTAGGAAAACTCATTTTTCCAACTTTTTCATTCTGAACACGGTTTTCAGACGTCTAGTTTCTTAAATTTCTGAAGGATTACGGTAGGGCCATGTCAAGTTAAGAACATAGTGAAACTTTTGTCAAACTTTCAGGGAACACACCCAAATCTCCTCATCTTTTGATCTTACAAGTTCTTGATAAACCAGAAAAGAGATAAAGAGAGAGAGAGAAGGAGAAGAAGTTGTCAGTTTCTATTAATCTGGTTCCCCGTGGATTCTATTTGTTTCTGTATTGATTCTGTTACTAGTTAACTAAATCTCAAGTTGGTTCTTTGAAATAAGGTACCGTAATCCTGTTCGGTCCCCTAAGAACCGAAATAATTCGTTTTTCTGCAAAAAAAAAGTGTGCAAAAGCGTAGGAACCAATTGAAATGTCAATTCAAGTGCCCATCCCCATCGGTTGTCTCCAAAAACCGATTACCCTTGACCATTTCGCTTCTATTTCCATCTAAAATTTCGCAATTTCAACTCCCTCTCCCCCTTTCTCTCTCTCTCTCTTTCCCTTCCATTTGAGTACCAATTTATGTGGCTCTTCTTTCTTTTCCAACACCAGAAGCTCCGGAATGAATTCGCAATGAAAGAGATGAAGAAGAAGAAGAAGAAGAAGCAGAGAGAGAGAGAAGGAGAGGGTCAAAACAAAATTAGCTTGTTTGGAAGCGAAAGAGGGAGAAGAAGTGGAGTGGAACTATTGGCTTTTTCGGGTGGCTCGACGACAAAAACATTCAAATTTACCTGGACGGCTCAAAGTTCTTCTTTTTCTTCATCTTCTTGTTTTTTTTTAGAAACTTCCGGGATCCAATCAAGTTAGACACTCCATTAGGTCCCGGAGGGGGATTATGGTAATGCCACGTCAAGTTGATACATTGGTACTCGTTGCCACGTCACTGACCTTCTGCCAAAGTTGCCGAGTACCCCCACTAGGTGATGTTCCATCAGAAATCACTACGTAATGACACTTGATATTCCTTCAAAGCACATGAGTCTGGAAACTTGATAGTTTTGCATGAAAAACCTTTTGTGTATTGTGCTCCTCAAAACTCAACGTCCGCCACCTCAAACTTTAGTGGAAAGGATTACTGTAGTTCTTGGTTTGGCACGATCAAGAGGAAATCGTCTGATCACCTGACTACAGTAATCTTTCCCACTTTCCCTTTACACCACAAAAAAAAAAGGTTTTCGTCTCAGTTTGCTGTCCGATCCCCGATGGACATTGTCGCAACCAGTTTTGTGGTGACGACAATAGCAGTAGGGAGGAATTTTGATGATAAAAACGGTGAAAATGGTACTTTTCGACGAGTTGAGTACGTAGTGGTCATTGTGGTATCAACGTTGACTTTTTGATTCCCTACACCTTCAAAACTTGACGTGGCACCTACCAGGGCGTCACCCCATCCAATTCCGGCAATTCCTCACCAGCGGGACGTCTGGTCCCCGCGTATAAAAGTCATCAAGTCGAATTCGTTTTCCTTCTCCTTCCCATTTCCAGTTGTGTCCAGCCCTTTTGTTTTCCGGTCCTCCATTCGTTGAGACAGCCGGACACTTGGAAATGTGTGTTGTTGTCTCCTCCAGACGCTTCTATCGGTGCCGTTTCTGGAATTTGGATGATGCTAGACGCGAGAGGGGACAATTTTCTAGGGAAATTAGATGAATGGATGGCTGTAGTGCCACGTCTTTAAATTAGGATGCACGGGATTACGGTAGTAGTGTCCTACGGGTTTCTATGCGGCCCTCTAGGCTTTAAGGTAAGGCAAACGCATATGAAAGTGATATTGCCACGTCATTCACCTAGTGGTCCCCCTCAATCTTATCAATCTTTCTCATGACTCACTCTCAGCAATGATTCATTCCTTCTTCCATCAGATTTTTCGTTCGACATTTTTTTCCGCTCAAATACATATAAATAATGTAGAGA